AAAATTATTTTGTTTTAATAAATTTTTATTAAAAAAATTAAAATAACATTTATAAGCCATAATTGAGTTTACTTTGGTCTTTTCTCTTGGTCTTTTAATAAAATAACACAATTTTGAGTTTTTTTTAAATTTTTAAAGATTTGATTGACAAATGCTAATATTATAAAATAATATTAAAAAATTATTAAAATTATTTTAATAAAAATGCAATCGAATGTGAAAAACTCTTTTTAAAAGAGATAATTGGCTGCTTACTAATTAAATGTTATACCATTTTGAACATGAAAATATTTCTAAGATTTTTGGCATGATGTGATGATTTAAGTTTTAATTATATGATATGAGTGAGATAGATTAAGGAGTACAAGAGAGTTGCCACACATTACATATATAATTTATGAGAAAAAAAAAAGTAGAATGATCATTTTTGGTAAAATTTATTGACTCTTTATGGCAGTGATTTGTTACAATATTGAAGTTAATAAGTTACCAAGAATGATATAAACATCAATGTATAAAATACAATTAATTAATGTCTCTTTCATATAAAACTACATTAAACTTCATTTCAATAAGGAAAAATGATTTTGAGATAATTTTTTTGTACTATTTTTTTGTACAATCTGACGTGTCGTTTAAATAATTGGTTCTTTTAATTTATATGAGATCCATGATATTAAATATGTCAATTTATTTAATGACATGTAAAAATTATATAAAAAGATTGTTTTTATAGTATCACCTTTTCAATAAGTAAAAAGAGTATAGATAAAATCAAATTCCAACACTAGTATTTTCTTTGTATTATATTATTAATTAATTAATTACTTCATACTATTTAGGAGTATATATAATTCCAATTTTTAGAGATGAATATAGTTAGGACGATCGTACCAAAAAGATAAAAGAATCTCACTAATTAATTAAAAAGGGCATAAGCCTCAAATATGGACACACATGATGTCCAATTACCCAAAGAAGATTACATCTTTGATTGGTCGCTACATGACTCCTTTTTACCGTAATTTCTTTGAATACAGCTTACATAAAAAATAAAAATAAAAAAATAAAAAAAAAGGCATCTATTTTTTTTTTTTTTAAATTTACCTTGCTAATAAATTTAAGTATATTTCAACAAAGGATCTGATTCGAAGACATCTTTAGAGTAAAAAATTGCGATCGAGAACATTAAACGAATTATGTACGCAAACTTTTTCAAGTAAATAAGAATCTTGCAAAAATTTTCATTTAGGGGGCATACCTCTTTTCTTCTTCTTCTTTTTTCTTCTTTTGGGCCTATTACCCGAACCCGAACTGTTTGATTGAATATATAAGACAAATGTGGATTGTTAAAAAAAAAAAGAAAAAAAGAAAAAAGACAAATGTGGATCGGAAAGTGGTGGATTTAAGATTTTTTTTTTTTAAGATCTAGTGTATGTTTAATTTTTTTTTAGTTTATTTATTTATAATTTTTTAAATAATTAGTTAGGATGTTTAAAAATATAAATTTATAAGTTAATTTAAATTGTTAAATAATTTAACAATTGCTTATTTCTCTTAAAATAATTTTCAAACCCTAAAATAAATAAAGATAACGATGAAATTTTAGTTATAGGTAAATAATTAAAGTTAAAGAATAACTATAATGTTAAAATAAGAAGAAATATTTATCTTGACAATTAATTTAAGATAAAATTTGAATAAAGTATGACATTTATTTGAAATGAAGATAATTTTATATAGTAAATAAAAAACAATTAAAATTTTTTCTTTTTATATGTAATTCTTATTGAGTGTTTTCACTTAAATTAAAAAAATTTTCAATTATCTTCCATTTATTATATAAAATCACCAAATTAATTTACATAGAGTTAAGAAATTATAACAACTAAAAAAAGGGAGTACTCTACTTAGTTTAGAGTAATTGTCTACCTTAGGACAATTAATTTGAAACGAATTTAAAATAAAAAATACTGTAGTAATTATTTTGAGATGAAATTAGTAAATAAAATAATTAAATTTAAACACTTTACATATTGTAGAAATTAAAGCTCTCTTTAAAATAGGTTTAGTTTTGAGTTTTTAATTTTAGAATGTTACAAAAACAAGTAAAAGTAAATTAATTTTTTATTTAAAATTATAAAATTTATAAAAATCAAAACTATAAATTTAAAATCTTAATTATATTTAATAAAACCTAAATCTAAGTCTATTATTAATATTAAATACAGGAAAGAAAAAATATTCTCATCCAACACTAATCTAATAAAAATTTAAAATATATATGTATAAAATAAGTTGTGGATATGTACCACTGTGTCAGCTTTTTTTTTTAAACGGTTACGATTTAAAGTAAGGCGAAGGAGAATATTTTCATAATATTACTGTAATATATATTTTTTATTTTAATTATAAAATAAAAAATAATTTTTTTATAATATACTTTACTTTATTTACATGTAATTTGATTTATATTTAAAATTTTTTAATTTTAATAAAATAAAATTACCATTAAATTCAAAATTTCTTATTATAATTTAAATTTTAATATTAATAA